TCAGAGAGGAGGCGAGAGGGAGAGAGAGATAGAAACATCCATGATGAGAGAGAATCATTGATCGGCTGCCTCCCGCAGGCCCCCACCTGGGGATCGAGCCCGCAACCCAGGCATGTGCCCTGGCCGGGAATCGAACCTGGGACCCTTCAGTCCACAGGCTGATGCTCTATCCACTGAGCCAAACCGGCCAGGGGCAATCAAACTCACATCTGACACTATCGACCTGGAAATAGTGTTCAGACCCTACAAGGAAAGGGCCGGGTCCCCTTAGAGCGCCCCCCCTTTCAGATGTCAGTCGTAAGTCCAGATGGTCACGGTACTGCTGACAGAGCCACGGGCTGTACATTGGGGGTTGCCATGAGCCCCGCCCTGGGGTCAGTCGGTTTGCTAGAGGGGCTGACAGAACTCAGGAGAACACATACATGGATCCGTTTATTAAGGAAGGACAGGTATAAAGGGTGGAGATGAACAGATACATACGGCCCAGTCCTGGAGGGTCCTGAGCCCGGGAGTTTCTGTCCCTATAGAATTGGGGGTGATGATTCCTGGCGCAGGTGTGCACCCCATCCCAGCGGGATTTTCTGGAGCCTCATCAAGTAGGCGTGCTCAATCATTAACTCCATCCCAGCCTGCTCCCCTCTCCGGAGGATGGGGGGTGGGGTGGGGTGGGGGTAGGGCGTGTAAATTTCAAGCCCCTCACTGCAGCCTGGCCCCCAGCCCCCTGGGAGCCCACCCTGAGTCGCCTCAGGAGAACAAAGGACCTGCTATCATCTAGGCCAGCGGTCGGCAAACTTGTTAGTCAACAGAGCCAAATACCAACAGGACGACGATTGAAATTTCTTTGGAGAGCCAAATTTTTTAAACTTAAACTATATAGGTTGGTACATTGTTATTCACTTAATTAGGGTCCTCCTAAGGCTTAGGAAGAGCCACACTCAAGGGGCCCAAGAGCCGCATGTGGCTCACGAGCCGCAGTTTGCCGACCACGAATAGGGAATTCGGAGGGACTTAGGGGCTCCATCAAGACTGGGTCAAAGACCACACAGGAGAACAAAGGCGGCCCTCAAGGCCCTTATCACTTGGGGAGCTAAAGGGGTTTAGGAGCTCAATGCCGGAACCAGGGGCAGAGACCAAGGCGAATGCATCCTGCTGAGCTCAGGTCCGCCTCCTCCTGTTCCTCTGTGGATCCCCGTGTAGCCTTTGAGACCCAGCTCAAGGTCCCGGGGAGCCTTCCCCAGCCGCACCCCCTGTTTGCCCAGTGAGGGTGTGGAGAAACATTAGCTCAGATTGGCTGAGCAGGCTCCGGGGGCCAGGCCCCACCCACATCCTCCACCTCTAGTCATCCCAGGTCAGCACTATTATCGCCCTTACTTCATTTTAATTTTTCTCAAACATATTTTATTGATTTCTACAGAGAGGAAGGGAGAGGGATAGAGAGCCAGAAACATCGATGAGAGAGAAACATCGATCAGCTGCCTCCTGCACGGGCCCCTACTGGGGATGTGCCCGCAACCCAGGTACATGCTCTTGACTGGAATCGACCCTGGGACCCTTCAGTCTGCAAGCCGACGTTCCATCCACTGAGCCAAACTGGTTTCGGCATCCAATCTTTTATTGATCTGGAGTAGCATCACTGATGGGTTGCCTCCTGCACGCCCCATACCAGGGATTGATCTGCCACCCGGGCACGTACCCATGACCAGAACCGAACCCGGGACCCTTCAGTCTGCAGGCCGACGCTCTACGCACTGAGCCACACCGGCCAGGACTGGGGACCACCCTCTCACCAACTGAGCTACCCGGCCAGGGCCTTGTTACCCTTATGTTAGAATCAATGAACCTGAATCACGCCATCACATGACACCTGCATCTGAGACTTGATGGAAACGACGTGCTGAGGTCACAGGATTGGCAGGCGGCGGGTGTGGGAGCCAACACAGGTCAGGGAGCACTAGAGACCCCCGTCCGTCCGGCAGGCCACACGGCCGGGCTGGCACCTGGGTGGTCATTGTCACTGCTTACCCGTCGGTCTCCTTAGATGGGACCTCCCTCTGTTCACCTCTGTAGCTGCCGGGACAGGTGTGGGGTGGGGCTGGGTAGCTCACTGTGCTCTCCGGAGGCAGACAAAGCAAGACTGGGCCCTCCCTGGCCAACCTTTCTTCTTTGCCCCTGAGGTTGCGGAAGTGCCAGCTGGAGGCGGGGGCCGGGCAGGAGGTGGCCTCGGTGCTCAGCTCCAACCGCCACCTGGTGGAGCTGGACCTGACGGGCAACGCGCTGGAGGACACGGGGCTGCGGCGGCTGTGCGAGGGCCTGAGGCACCCGGTCTGCAGGCTGCAGATCCTGTGGTGAGTTTGTCCGGGGCCTGGGGCCCTTCACAGGCAGTTCTCCTCCTCCGGGGGAATGATGGGGCGAGCATGCATCCGCTGCTCGGCCACCCTGTGTTCGTAGCAGCGTTGTTTGCCGTAGCCAGGAGGTGGCAGCCAATCAGTGATTCTCTCTCATCATTGGTGTTTCTATCTCTCTCTCCCTCTCTCTCCCCAGGGGAAGGATGGGGTGAACATGCATGGGGGAAGGATGGGGGGAACATGCATGGGGGAAGGATGGGGGGAACATGCATGGGGGAAGGATGGGGGGAACATGCATGGGGGAAGGATGGGGGGAACATGCATGGGGGAAGGATGGGGGGAACATGCATGGGGGAAGGATGGGGGGAACATGCATGGGGGAAGGATGGGGGGAACATGCATGGGGGAAGGATGGGGGGAACATGCATGGGGGAAGGATGGGGGGAACATGCATGGGGGAAGGATGGGGGGAACATGCATGGGGGAAGGATGGGGGGAACATGCATGGGGGAAGGATGGGGGGAACATGCATGGGGGAAGGATGGGGGGAACATGCATGGGGGAAGGATGGGGGGAACATGCATGGGGGAAGGATGGGGGGAACATGCATGGGGGAAGGATGGGGGGAACATGCATGGGGGAAGGATGGGGGGAACATGCATGGGGGAAGGATGGGGGGAACATGCATGGGGGAAGGATGGGGGGAACATGCATGGGGGAAGGATGGGGGGAACATGCATGGGGGAAGGATGGGGGGAACATGCATGGGGGAAGGATGGGGGGAACATGCATGGGGGAAGGATGGGGGGAACATGCATGGGGGAAGGATGGGGGGAACATGCATGGGGGAAGGATGGGGGGAACATGCATGGGGGAAGGATGGGGGGAACATGCATGGGGGAAGGATGGGGGGAACATGCATGGGGGAAGGATGGGGGGAACATGCATGGGGGAAGGATGGGGGGAACATGCATGGGGGAAGGATGGGGGGAACATGCATGGGGGAAGGATGGGGGGAACATGCATGGGGGAAGGATGGGGGGAACATGCATGGGGGAAGGATGGGGGGAACATGCATGGGGGAAGGATGGGGGGAACATGCATGGGGGAAGGATGGGGGGAACATGCATGGGGGAAGGATGGGGGGAACATGCATGGGGGAAGGATGGGGGGAACATGCATGGGGGAAGGATGGGGGGAACATGCATGGGGGAAGGATGGGGGGAACATGCATGGGGGAAGGATGGGGGGAACATGCATGGGGGAAGGATGGGGGGAACATGCATGGGGGAAGGATGGGGGGAACATGCATGGGGGAAGGATGGGGGGAACATGCATGGGGGAAGGATGGGGGGAACATGCATGGGGGAAGGATGGGGGGAACATGCATGGGGGAAGGATGGGGGGAACATGCATGGGGGAAGGATGGGGGGAACATGCATGGGGGAAGGATGGGGGGAACATGCATGGGGGAAGGATGGGGGGAACATGCATGGGGGAAGGATGGGGGGAACATGCATGGGGGAAGGATGGGGGGAACATGCATGGGGGAAGGATGGGGGGAACATGCATGGGGGAAGGATGGGGGGAACATGCATGGGGGAAGGATGGGGGGAACATGCATGGGGGAAGGATGGGGGGAACATGCATGGGGGAAGGATGGGGGGAACATGCATGGGGGAAGGATGGGGGGAACATGCATGGGGGAAGGATGGGGGGAACATGCATGGGGGAAGGATGGGGGGAACATGCATGGGGGAAGGATGGGGGGAACATGCATGGGGGAAGGATGGGGGGAACATGCATGGGGGAAGGATGGGGGGAACATGCATGGGGGAAGGATGGGGGGAACATGCATGGGGGAAGGATGGGGGGAACATGCATGGGGGAAGGATGGGGGGAACATGCATGGGGGAAGGATGGGGGGAACATGCATGGGGGAAGGATGGGGGGAACATGCATGGGGGAAGGATGGGGGGAACATGCATGGGGGAAGGATGGGGGGAACATGCATGGGGGAAGGATGGGGGGAACATGCATGGGGGAAGGATGGGGGGAACATGCATGGGGGAAGGATGGGGGGAACATGCATGGGGGAAGGATGGGGGGAACATGCATGGGGGAAGGATGGGGGGAACATGCATGGGGGAAGGATGGGGGGAACATGCATGGGGGAAGGATGGGGGGAACATGCATGGGGGAAGGATGGGGGGAACATGCATGGGGGAAGGATGGGGGGAACATGCATGGGGGAAGGATGGGGGGAACATGCATGGGGGAAGGATGGGGGGAACATGCATGGGGGAAGGATGGGGGGAACATGCATGGGGGAAGGATGGGGGGAACATGCATGGGGGAAGGATGGGGTGAGCGTGCATGGGGGAATGATGGGGTGAGCATGCATCCGCTGCTTGGCCACCCTGTGTTCGTAGCAGCGTTGTTTGCCGTAGCCAGGAGGTGGCAGCAGCTCAAAGGTCCATCCTGGGTGGACGGATAGACAAAGTAAAATGTGGAATATACGGGCAATGGGATATTATTCGGCCTGTAAAAGGAATGAAATTCTCTCTCTCTCTCTCTCTATCTCTCTCTCTCTATATATATATATATATATATATACACATATATATATATCATGTTCTCTTAAGTTATTTTGATAACACAAGGTGCATGAAATATAGATATATGTTTTATACTAGT